CACCTCGCAAGTTGCGTGCAGCAGAAGCAGAGGTACGGCCGCTAACGCGTGGTTTTTAGAAGTGCCTTTTAGTGAGAGCATTTGTGGCGCACACATGAAATATAAAAAATAAAATCCCATTTTCTTGTTTGTTTTGTATTTTTGATTCAAGCTACCAGTAGGGAGTTTTAGTAGACCGTCCCATAACGATACCCGGTGCTCCTCCGGCGCCTTTCCGCGTCCATCGTTTGGTTATCGCGCGGGTACCGTTACGGTGGCTATCGGGCGGTCTACTAAAACTCCCGAATATTGTGCGATTGGCAGCGTTTTGCTTTCATATTATGTTTTCACCCTCACCATCTTCTCCTCCCCCCCCCCCCCCCTCCCTCGGAATTGATCACATAGCCAGTCAAAAGGTCCAACGAGTCGAGAGATCCAACGTTTGATCTCCTACCTCGTTGTACCTCTGACCCAGTTTGGATCTCTTGACGCGTTGTACCTCTTGACCCATATTGGATTTCTTGGCGCGTTGGATCTCTTGACTCGGCTGACACGTGACTATTGGATCTCTTTACCATAATTATAATGCAATTAAATGCAAAGGTGCAAGCGAGCTGGACAAGGATGACGAAAATAATCCCTGGAGAAGGGGAACAAGAGGGACAAAGGACAGACATAAATCTCCAAACACAGCTAGGTGACTGGTGAGCGACCGAAAAAATCCGCCTGGCCGGGGTATCGAACCCGGGACCTCTCCATTACAAGTGGAGCGCTCTACCAACTGAGCTAACCAGGGGTTAGACGTCAGTAGAGCAAACGGGTTTTATCAGCTGCCATCAGTCTAACACCAACAAGGGTGAAGCTTGCAAATTTAATGTTATAATTATAATGCAATTAAATGCAAAGGTGCAAGCGAGCTGGACAAGGATGACGAAAATAATCCCTGGAGAAGGGGAACAAGAGGAACAAAGGACAAACATAAATCTCCAAACACAGCTAGGTGACTGGTGTCCTTTGTCCCTCTTGTTCCCCTTCTCCAGGGATTATTTTCGCACAAGTGCAGCGCTCTCCATTACAGAGCGCTGCACTTGTAATGGAGAGGTCCCGGGTTCGATACCCGGACCAGGCGGATTTTTTCGGTCGCTCACCAGTCACCTAGCTTTGTTTGGAGATTTATGTTTGTCCTTTGTCCCTCTTGTTCCCCTTCTCCAGGGATTATATTCGTCATCTTTACCATAAGCGGCCGCCGCCCCCCCCCCCCCCCCCCCATTTTTTACTGCCCAGCTGCACCCCCCTAGCGCTTCACGCGGTGTGCTCCCCCCCCCCCCCCCCTTCGTGACGCCACTGGGTGCAGTTAAAAGAACGTAGTTAAAGGGGCACTGACACCCCAAAGGTCGTATTTATTTTTATTGTCTAAAACGATGTAAGTTGCAGTCATAACCACGCAAAAAAAAACCGCACCGCGAAAAAAAATTTTCCCGGGCCCGCGCGCACCTTTTTATTTTTGGCGTTTGATTTTCCCGCCTCTCGCCTCCTCGCTTCTTTTGATCGGTGACGTCAAGAATCAGGAAATTTAGAAGCTTTGTAGGCGACATCTCTATAACATTTAATTACGGCAATCCTAAAACATGTTTTTTAACGCAATTGCGAACGCACTACGGCCCTTCTTTTTGAAATACCAAAAATCGGGAGTTCGTTGTGGTGCCGTCTCCTGGATTGGTATCCTCCAACGGAAAACAGGCGACACCGCTCAAAACCGGTCCGCCGCAACGAGCCGGCGCTCGCTCCTTTCCTCCTCGCTTTGGGTCGCCATGGCAACAGCAGGGACTGGAGAAAAAAAAGTGGACTCTCAGGTCTCACCAATTTTTGACGTCAAGGCACCGGCGCCGATCGCGCGGGAACTTCGAATTCGCCATTTGGAAATTGTTTTTTTACTTCACGAATACTGAATTCCCAAATTTCAAATTTTGAGGGTAATGTCCCGGCATCGTTTCGATCGTTTCGGATAATAAAAAAAAATATGATTTTGATGTGTCACTGCCCCTTTAAAAGCTCGCTGCTCGTTTTATTTGTAACGCTTATAATACAAGATTATCATCTACCGAATTAGTTAAAAAAGCCCAGCTTCCGACTTTACAAACCAAACAAAAGCTATATTTGACAGATTGAAGACTGTCTACAAACTCATAAACGGCTCCCTTCGTGTAAATATCTCCAACTACTTAAAATATGCTCAGTACAGGTCATTACGAATAAATCATTGCTGGAAATTAACAGAACACGTGTTTAAAATGAATGGTTTAGATTTTCTTTCTTCCCTCGAAGTCCATTCTCGAAGTCGAAGTCCATTCTCGACCTCGATGTCCATTCAAGAATGGACTTCGACGACTTTCGATCACTTTGTAGATGCTATTGAATTGCACCTTCGCTAATTCTCCTGTTGGTGCAACATTACTTAATGCTGTTTTGTATTCTGTAACTACTTATACAATAGCCTCTTGGATGGCTCTGGTGGTATTACCAGATAAGCAAAAAAATAAACAAAAGACGCGAGACAACGCCAGCGATAAGCAACAATCGCCTCGCTACAATATGCGAACTTGGTAAAACTAATATCCGGAGCTTTCGCTAAGGCAGCCCCAGTAGGTGGCGAAATGTCACATTAGGGAAAGTGCAAAGCAAAAAAAAAAGAAATGCGTCGACAGCCACCTTTCAATGGATGCACCGACTACCTTCTTCGCGATCGCGTCTGCCACCATTGTTTCTTGGCAAGCAGGGACTTAAAAAGAAGGTCACCCCAACTTTCACCCGGATCCTCCCGTGGAGGGGCTATTCTCCAAAACCGAGGGAAAGGATAGGCTTAACGGCAATCGGTCACTTTTTTCGTCTTCTTTTTTTTTTTTTTTTTTTTGCTGCTTTACTTTACGTGTTTGTGTGTCACCCCGTCACCGCAGGGACACGGTGTCAGCCGTTGTCGCAAGTCGACTCCGCAGAAACATCCCCAAAGAGGATTCCTAACCAGGACGGTGCTTCGCGTATTCTCGGGAGCTGCTGTCTCCTGGCTCCGGCACTTCAGTGGCGTTCAAGGACCACTTCTGCTCGCGACTTCTCAAGCAGCCCCACGACACCGGCCAGGCGCGGGAAAAGCCAGAGACCCGCCGGCATCGTGCGCCGTCGGGACCGACAACGGGACACTAGGGACTGTCCGCCCTTCGGGAAAGCGATCTGCGAGGCGACGGACAACTGGCCGGCCAGGGACCGGGTGACTCGCCGTGACGAGTGTCGAGGGCTCCACGAAACTAACCAACCAAGGACACTGCGCCACGGTGAGCGACGGACTACAATGCCGAGAACGTCATCAAACACGTTTTTCTTCTTTTTTTTTTTTTTTTTTTTTTCTTTTTGCATGCATGTGCGTTGCGGGCCGTTGCCGCGCTTGTTTTTCGAGAGTCAGTAGGGTATCTTTTTGTTTATTTTTAAACCTGCCATGTGTCCCCACATCCCTATTTATGTTTAGCTCAGGCGGGTCGTGCGACCGAGATGCGCATGAGGCCGTACGCTCCTGAGGGACGGTGATCGCTTGTCCTCGGGTGACCTGTCGCCAGTATATCCCTCGGGACCATTAATACCTGGACACGTCCGCCCTATTTACGGGCGCGTCCATCGGAAACTCGCCGGGGAGGCTACTCTCGACGGAGCCCTACATTACTTTTGTGGCCCTCCCCCTCGGAGTCTGTTGAACTTCGGGCAAGCGTGTTCGCATATCAGTCAATAAAAACGTCTTTCACAGATTTACTGTGTACATGTTGGCGTCCCCTAGCGGGAACCGCTTGGCAGTTATCGAACGGACCCGCCGTAGTCGCCAATGCAACGAGTTACGAAGTTGGCTTCATAAAAAAAAAAATCTTCACGTAAAAAAAAAAAAAAATTCAAAGAAAAAGACAGAGAGCTACACTTGGCGACAACTTTTCTTGGCAATGCAATAGGGGGTACAGGCACACGTTCCCTTTCCCATTTTGAGCGCTAAATCAGGCTAAATAAAGCTGTGCGCGGGCTCTCCTCCTCTGCACCGCATTGCCAAGAAAAGTTGTCGCCGAGTATTAGCGGTGAGATGTTTCGGTGGCGCCCTCGTTGGGTTACCTTTCGTGACGTCATTACCTTGTGAACAACAAGTTCGATGGTGTCTGTAATGGACATGGTGGGAGCCTGAAATCATAGCGCTCTCAAAGCAACGCTGCCAACACCGTCAAAATTTAAGTTCTTACATTCCTCTTATTTCCGTCGATGAGACATCCTTTCCTGTCGTCATAGTCAGTATTTGACCAATTGTTGTGGTCCGACCACAGCGACGCTTTGGATCGTTCACGTCGCCAATAGACGTGTTCGTTTCCACTTGTCCGGTAAACCATGTCTTCCTAAAGTGCCGTAAATACTCCTAGTTCTGATTTATATTACTAAGCACAATCATGTCAAGTCCGAGCTAATTCGAACGCTCTAACACAGAGATACCGACACGCATACTAAAATTGGAAGTCAACGGGATTTAGCTGCGCTTGATTTGTTTAGCATATTATAGACGCTTTGCAGCAGCTGTGCATGGGCACCGCCATAACTGACCTTCAGTTTTTGCTTCCCCTTATTACGTTTACTTCACTTCATTATTACCATAGCTGGCCAGGTTATTGCCACCTTAGATTTTATTCTGTCTTTCTCCCCAGCATTGGCTTTTGTGGAGGCTCGTCCACACCAATTTCAGTGGCTCGGTATCTCGGTAAAACAAGAGAAGGTCAGCAATGGGGGCTGTATTTTGGCGCGTGTGTAAAGCGTCTATAGAAGTTGAAATAGAACGCTTAGGGAAAGATCGCGAGCGTCATGACGTTGTGCCTTTTGCCGCTGTTCGGTTGGTTCCATCGACTCGTGGCGTCGGTTGAACAGGAATTGATTCTGTTTCTCTGAACAGCCCGCTCCCTGCTCGGGCCCTTCGACGTTTCAACGAAGCTGTGGACTTCAAGGGCTGAAAAATGAGTAATTTCAAAGAAGTAACACGGAGCGTGACCGAGGAAGACCTCGGCGTCTTGTGGCGAGTGTGTACCTACGCGGCCGTCATGATGCTCATGTTGGTGGCGCTGGTGCTGTTCATCAAAGCGTACATCCGCATCAGCAAAGGAGTCTGCAAGTCCACACAAACGTTGAACGGCAAGACTGTCATCGTCACCGGAGCCAACGCAGGTTCGTTCATTATTCAAATATACTCGCTTCTGTGATATTACACGGTGTAGTGTACGATGGGGTATATGATGTAATTCAATGTGATGGAAACATTGTAGGGTTCATCAGAGGTAACCCAAAACCGTATGTGGCTTGTGGCGACACACCACACTTTATAAATTTCGAAAACAAACAAGTCGTTTATTGAAGCAAATAAAAAATATATATACATTTAAGCAAGAGGAGCAGTTTTGCTTAAAAACAGATTTCAATTATGTGGGATAATTTAATTGCTAATAACTTAACTTATTGTAGGCATTCTGGCCGCTTGCCTTGAAGACTCGTCATTAACATTTCATGAAAAAAAAAACGTTTCACGTGATACGATGTACAAGGGTAGTTATAATAAAATACAATGATGTACCGTTAATATGGAACTCTCTGTTTTCCCCCAAAACGTGACCATAAGGTGAGTTCATAATAACGAAACAAAGATGCATACATTTGCCCAATTCATCCCCCAAAATTTTGTCTACATAGCGGGGGATTTATATTGATTCGGTCAGTATTAACGAGGCATCACTGTATAGAATGTATCATAAAATCGATACGATATATTTATATCACACAGAGTATAACATCCGCCCAAAAGATCACTAAAATTCGTGCTACTACAAACGTTGCTGCAGCTACACAAGATCATCACGTTTATGATGATATCTTATAATTGTGACTGACATGTCATCAGTTTTAGGACCTCAACATTTTTTTACTTCAAATGATTCTCTGTAATCGCTTAACTAAAACCGCCTATGCTTCGCATTATTCTTTTTTTTTTTCTTCAAAAGCGTCTTGAAACATTTGCATGGCACCCTCGCTCAACCCATGACGCAAATTCAACGCACCAAAGTGAACACAATTAACATGCAACAAGATATCCTAAACCCCATCTTCAAACAATAGGGATCTTTAAGAATTAATATCACGAAGTCCGCACATTGAGCCCCCACTAGACAAGCTAAAAACACTACCTTAGAAATGGCTGTGTTGATTCCATTCCTCCTTGGTATAAGAAGGTCATACAGCTGGAGCTGTGACGTCACTTACAGAAGGCCAGCGCGAAGCACACAAATGACAGGAGTCCCAGCTGAACGCTTACCCGGCACTCTTGTCTGATTTTCGCTTTGAGCCGGCCTACAATAGATGACGTATGAAATCCAGCACTACGGCCTTTTTGTTATTTAGGAGGTGATACAGCAGCTGGCTAGCTGTACCATACCGCTCTTGAGGCCGGTTCACACGCTTGCCACTCCCTTGGACCGAGTGCCTTAAAATCTTGCGACGAGAAAGCTCGCTGATCCTTGACCCTAAAACTCTATTTTACTAAAGCGATTTTTTTTTTGCATTTGCAAGGTTAAAGGCACGTTCTACTAGTCAGAAATTGTCGTTTATGACAGTGATTTTTTTTTTTTCAAACGAAACGAAAAGAATGATGCGTGAAGAAAGAAAAAAATAAAATACGGGACCGTCAAGTGTTCCCCGGCTACCCGATGGGTGGCGCCATTGTGTTCGTTAGATACTTCTCTCGTAGTAAAAGGTTTCAAGGCACACGATCCTAAGAACTCGCAAATGTGCGACCCCGCACCTAATTTTGAAAAATGAATTTAACATCATTCCATCAATACATATATATATATATATATATATATATATATATATATATATATATATTGTGGATTGAGAACTTTTTAAGCCTGCTAGTAACTTCGAGTTAATCATAAAAGACTAATGATTATGATAAAATATTTGCAGCAGCGTAAACCTGTATCTTCTATTTGCGTTTCTTTGTCAAAATATCGCGTCAGGAAAACCATAAAATTGCTGAACAGGGCATCAAAAATAACCTCAATTCGTCTCGAAGACACGAAATGAGTTCCTTGGACATTACTGGGGATTGTGGAGTGATCGTACTGGTTCTTGCCCTACGGATAATAAGCATTCCTTATTCCGTGATACAATCTTGTTGACTAATATCTTGATTCCAGACATTGCTTTTTAGCTTTTTTATGGCATATTTTCACTTTCTGTTTATTTAGAGTGCGCAATAGTCTGTCACAGGTTAAGAAACGTTTTCTGGCTGGGGAGGAGGAAGCAGACGAAACGCTGAAGAGAGGAGAAGGTTTCTTTGCCTCCTCTCCAGCATACCGTTTGCTTCCACCTCCCTTGCCCTCCTTTCCCTCGAAAACTGGCGGGCGATACACCACTCCTACGTGACGTCACCCCACCAGAGTGGTAGCCGTTCCTACTTGGTTCTGCCGAGAAGAAGAAAGCAAATTAGGTGGTGTGAGATGTATGCCGCAAACGCGAGTGCTCGGCAGTAAGGGCACCAGAATGGCAGCCAGTGTGCTGCACATCGAAGCCCTGAAGAATCATTCTGGCCAAGCTTTAATCACACAATTACTTCTAGCTTTGGAAATAAATAAACAAGTGCCGAGGCGCGGGCACCGCTGCGCACGTTCGTTAGGCTCCTGATTCAGCCAAGTTACCACTCGATGACGTGCAAGAACCATTTTCCTTAAAATAAAGTCTGTATTGTTAGTTGGAGCAACATACTGTCATGTGGTGTTTAACTGGCTGGCTGGAGCTATGGTGTATTCCATCGTATCGTGAGCAAAACATATCTGGGCTCGTACTTGTAACCTAAATAATTAGCCATCCTTCGCTAAATTTTGTCCGCACATTTTTGAAGTGATGGGAAACCTGGAGTTGAACTCTCGCAGTTAAACGAACAGAAGTTTCATCTCCCCTAACGCAGGCCATCGTATTGTATTGTTTGATTGTTTTGCCTATCCACATGATCATCTTGATTAAGAAAGGTACGACAAGCATCTTCGGGCTACCCGACACTCGGTGACACCGTGGCTTTGCGTATTCAAAATATAATCTACTATTATAATATTACGTGACTTTTAACCTCGTCGTAGCGTGAGCTTCTTGTTTGACATCCTTCTTCGTCCTTTTATGCTTGCCACTTCATTTTTGAGGTGGTGTTTCAGTAGCCTTCCTTTATAGACACTGAGTCACTGACAAAATGAGAACGACAGGACGTGTCTTCCTAACGCCCGCCTTCCAGAACGCGTTCTGTGCCTTCCACCATGCTTTGGCTACGCACGCGCGCTCGAGAGGCACGAAACGCCTGAGCATTGTCGAAGGTAGGAAGCTCGTGCTGGAGGCGGGGCAGCGGATGCTCCTCCTTGCCGTTCCCTCCTTGTCAGTGACTGCAATTGCCTTCTTGCCCCTGCCACCCGCTCTTCTGTCCCTTCTTAGCAAGGCCTGCGGCCGGCTGAGTGGTCCTATCCTGCTACTCTAATAAGGACGTTCTGAGAAGAGACATCAACCTTACTAACTCCCTTCTTCTCCCCTTTAGGGATCGGGAAAGAGACGGCGAAAGAACTGGTCAGAAGGAAAGCTCGGGTCATCTTGGCTTGTCGAAACTTGGAGAAGGGAAAGGAGGCTGCGCAGGAGATCTTGGAGGAAACGCAGCAGCCCGTGGTAGTGAAGCACCTGGACTTGGCGTCGCTCAAGTCGGTCCGACATTTCGCCGAGGACATTTTGAAGACGGAGTCGAGGCTGGACGTTCTGATCAATAACGCTGGAATGTCGACGTGTAAGTTTACCTTCCACCTAAGGGAACAGCTTTTCAACATTGGTGTTCGTTCGCAAACAAATAGAGCGATTTCACAGATAGCAGTTTCATTACGCCACCGCTGCCGTCATGCATCGTGGGAACTGTATACAGTTCATCTGCTTCAGCGATAACCCCGCTGAGGGTCTGCGCGAACAGAGCACGAAGTGGCACGAACTGTCTCCTGAACTGGCGCCCGCCTGATAAGCTACGGCATAGCCTCTTATATACTAACAAAGCCTGGCAGATCGCCGTGAGAAGCGGCCGCCGAAATGGAAAAGGTGGAGCGGCAGACAACGGATGAAAGGAGAGCCACGTGACTGGCGCCCCGCTGTGGCGAGACGCTAAAACACACTTCTCCCGAGCGAGCCAGTGTAATTCGGATCCTCGCCGCTGCAAAAGCTGTGCGCTGACGTCCAGGTTTCCCGAGAAATGGCTCTTTGGTGCTCTGTGCTACCAGATTCTCACGCTCCAAATCTGCGACCGTCACTTTATGGCTCAGTTGTCGAACTGCCAGGCTTTGTGAGCATAGAGGAGGCTATGGCTATGCCGTCGTCGTGGGATTGGTCAGTTGAAAGTGGATCGGCTCCGCGGCTTGGAGCACGTGGAGCGAAAGCTCGAGCTGCAGAACCCAGGATCCCTGGATTCTGCTGGGTTCGCACCCCAGTCCGTTTCAATCTGGACGAACATCGTAGCGGCGCGCGGTCGTGTGTCACTACACTTCCTGATGCACGTTCAAGACCTTAGACTAGCAGTGGTACTGCACTACAAAAACTTCTCATTTGTCTAGAGCGATAAACGAAACTCGAACTACTTTTATTCTGTCCGAGTCAAAAGCAGCCAAACTGTAGGTAAGGTAGCAGTAGCACAAGACTACCGAACCGCATGCTGTCTTTCAATTTAAAAAGCGTTTCATTTTTTTTTTTTTTTTTTAACGTGCTTTTGTGATTGGAAGTGAGGCGAGGTGGCGGCGGGGGCGGGGGAGCCGCGAGGTGTACTTTAACACAAGAAAAGCCGCAGCTTGGCCACCCCTGATGTATATAGTTAAATGCGTTAGTTCGTCTGGTCTACACTTTTTTAATCAATCATATTGTAAGATAATAAATAAAAAATAAAATGTTCCCGCCTTTGAGTATTTGCCAGCTAGGCCATGGCAATTATTAAGGGGGAACAAAGATTCTAGAATTCTGGGTACACTGAACGTTGTTATGGCTTTCTTCTCAGATAACACCGAAGTTGAATTGACAGAAGACGGATACGAAGTTTGCTTCCAGGCAAACTACATCGGACACGTCCTGTTGACTCTCCTCCTTGCAGGTAATGTCTCTTCTTTCGTCGTATGGAAGGCTGAAAACCATGAAGCTCAGATGGTGTATTATATAAGGGATTTTCATTAGGGGAAATGAGATGTTTGATTTAAAAATATATACAATATTTAAACTTTTCTTCGCTTATTCGGGTACAAGAATTACAGTTACGCTTAAAAAAATAAATATATATTTTTTAATTGAATGCTTAACTTCAGCAACAACTAAGAAGCACTAACCGATTTGAACACTTATATTTTAGAAAAAAAGCTACAATACTTTTTTCGAAAGAAATGATAGGTCTAAAACGTCGCGCGTTGTGTTCTCAAATTACGAATCACACGAACTTCCCATGTAAAACGCAGTGGACGAGAGCAGCTAAGAATTCCCTTGAAGGCCTTGATTTTCTGCAAAGCAGAATATCGTTTGCGATCCTCCCTCTTCCAGACTGATCAGGTAGCGATGGTGGAAAGGGGCCAGCAACTGAATAAGAGCGCGTGAATCAAAAGGAACAAAAAAGAAAGTATGAAAACCTCGGGGTGTCCGTCGGTTATTTGGAAAACAGCCGACAACGGCACTTCCGCGCAGGGCTGCTGAAGAAGAGCGCGCCGAGCCGTGTGGTCAACCTCTCGTCCATCCTGCATCACCTGGGCAACGCGGACAACTTGCGAGCCAAGGCGACGGGAACCGAGCGGCCGTCGCACCCCGTTCTGATCTACTGCCACACCAAGATGGCCCTGCTGGCCTTCACCAGGGTGCTTGCAGAGAAGCTCAAGCCTCACGGTAGGCAGGCTGTGTTCGCAGCTCCAACGGCATGCATTCAGTCCCCTTTCCTTTGTTTCATATTTCGGCCGCCAGGCAGCGGCAAACTCCGCACTCTTCTCCTTCACGCCTTTTTCCGCTGGGTGGCCCTGCCTTTCTGCAGAGGCGAACGTACCAGAACCGAAGGTCTTCCAGACGACTATGGAGGCTTCGATATATCGGCTCTTATTAAAGGAATTCCCCAAGTTTTATTTTTCCCGGTGTACATTTCGGCATTTTTTCTTCCGGATAATATTTTTAACAAGTTGTTGGAATAATTCGTGAACTTTCGTAAAAGTAGTAACTCGAATGCTATTTACGAAACGCAATAAGCTGATTCGTAAGCAGTCAAATTTGCATTCGAATTATTAAAAAAAACTGAGCGGGAGCAAGTGTGATTACGAATGTGTCAGAAACATTGCATATGGAAGTCACGAGGTTTCTACCACAAAAAAAAAAAACACAAAAAACATGCATATGCCTAATATTTTTTAGCCGAAAAACAAATAGCTAGTTTTTTTTTTTTTTTTTTTAGTTGACCGAATTTAGGCTCCGCGACAATTTATTTAAATTTATTTCCTAGCTAAAAAATCTAGAAGCCCATCACTGTTCTATCTCCCACATTTTTTCTTCCAAACCTTGTACTCAAAATAATATAATTAGTAAAAGAGCAAAAATTTTGAGAATATAACTTGTCATACCTCTGACAGTAATCTGAAATAGCATACGGGCACACACAAACCGTAAGGGTATTCCTTTTGATGATTTTTTTTTCTTTTCTTTAACGTCCCAAAGCAAAATGTAAAAAATATGACTCAAGTTTGAACATTCCGAGAAAAAAATACGGAAAGCACAGGATGTTTTCAGCGCAAACAACCACTTCGCAGAAATTGATGTTACGTTACTTTACTTAACATGAAGTAATCACGTGATGTGACTATACCCGTTAAGGTTAGAGGGGAAAGGGATGTCACGTGACTTGAAGTCACATGGCGTCACTTTACCCGTCTAATTTAGCGGGAAAAGTTACGTCACGTGACTCGAGCTCGTCACTATACAATAATTTCCCCCCTAAATTTAGGAGAGAAATTGACGTGACGGTTCTTCGTGACGGTTTTCTTATGGAATTCGTTTGATAAAGCACATTCTGTGTTAGAACTACATTTGATAGTTCTTCTGACTTCTCCCGTCATAACATCGTGCAGGTGTAACCGTGAACGCTCTTCATCCTGGTTCTGTGAAGACGAACATCGTCGCCAAGGATGCCACGGGACTCGTAGCAGCTTTTGTCACGTTCGTTTTCGACTACTTTGGAAAGGTTAGTGCTTCGGGACACCTTACGCCACTCTTGGCATTTTTTTTTATTCCAATTCAATGCAGTTTTATGTATTCGTGTTGTTTTTTTTTTTTCGGTAAGCTTAAGCAGTGAGTTTTGATTAGGACTATTTTCTCAAACGGCCTACATAAGTATTTAAAGGAGGAAATTCGAAGGATTTCATAAAGCTTTAAAGGGCAACTCCACTCCATTTTTACAATTTTTGGGTTATGATCTGTTTAGTCGAAGCCGGCGACCCTGAATGACGAGATATAATTTGTTTTTCGGTAGTGTGTATAGTTTTGTAGATATAGCGAATGCAAGAATCGGTCCGGCGGCACGGCGAAACCGAAACTACCGGTTGAAGCAGCTTGGCAACACTGATACTAGTGGCGCGTCGTCGGCATGACCTAGTTCTAGTCCCGCGCCCCGCGCTTCTGAGCCGACGCGCCGAGAAGGTCGGCTCAATCGCACGTGGAGTTTCGAAACAGAAGGTTAGATGCACATTTTCTTTTTTTACCGCTTCACTTTGTTAATATGCACCAAATATAGTAATTTTTAGCGTGTATTTATAAATTTGCCGGCCGAAAGCGAATCGGTGCCGGCGCGGCGTGACTGTATTTGTTTCTTGCGCGCGGACCGAGAAAACGAAATAATGGGAGACAGATGGACAGATCTGTCCACGAGTGGTCTAAGTTGTTAAAGCCAAGGTGCCTTTATGTGCACGCTAGTTAGATCAGCCGCGACCTGCTGCGTCCGGCCGATCGTGGTGGAGCAGCCGGCGGACGGTACGCGAACAGCGACGGCACCGCATCGTTCTTCAAAGACGCCTGTTTCTTGGTGAAACCCGCAACAGTCGACAGCCGCAGATCCCGTGTGTAGGTGTCTGACGTAAAGTGCTGGGAGCAGAGCTTCGCGTTGGAGCTCGGAGTCAACGGTCTTCCGAAGTCTATCCGGCGAACGGCACCGACCCACACCTTGTGCCTCTTCCGGTCTCTCGGGAACTGGTGGAACCGCAGCTCCGGATTGCGCACCGGGTTGTTGGTGCAACCCACAGCACTACAAATCCTGCTCGACATTGCCCAACGCGAGACCGGCAAATCTCTCCGGCTCCGCGACGCGCGCGTGAGCGAGCAGCACCGCTTCGCTCTCTTCCGCGCTGTCGCGGAAGCAATGCTGGAATTAAAGGAACTGCCTGGACGCTAATAAAAATAGGAGAACACAGGATAATGTGGTAAACACCTCGTGCCGTCAACAGAATCGCAGAATGCCACGGGAAACGAAGCGTTCGCGGCGTCCGTACGAGAGCGTAGGACTAGACCTACGTCATTGCCCAGTGTTGCTTCACTAGCTCACCCGGTGCCAGCGTTGCTCACCCGCTTTCGGGCCGCTAACGGAGCCGGGAGAACATTTTTAATATTGGTTTTAATCGGTAACGCGGCGTCGGTTTGACGTGATATTTTGGGTATGACCGTATTTTGACCTCCTAAAGCGATATCAGTGATTTCGATAGGGTCGACTTTTTGAGTGGAGTTGCCCTTTAAGGTATTCTTCCCAAAAACGGCAATCAAAATAATTTATCTGTACTGCCCTCAACTACGGTCGGGATTAAATGTTCTAAATTCTAGCTTTTTTTTTTTTGCATTTATCATTTGTGTTTATAATTCTCTTATATCTTGCAGACCCCCAAGGAAGGAGCGCAGACGTCCGTTTACGCTGCCGTTGATCCCTCACTGGCCAACACGACCGGAAGGTACTTCGTGGATTGCAGCGAGGGCTGGATGAACTGGAAGGCCCTCGACAAGGACAAGAACAGCGTCGCATTTGAGACGTCTCTCGAACTCGTGGGACTTAGCGAAAAGGAAGTTGACAAAATTCTGGAACAGTGAACAAGACACGGAGCTGGAGATCGAGTCACTTCGAACCAGAAGGGGGAACTTTTTAGTTCAGGAAAGTCCAAATCTAAGGTGGTGAAGCACGGGGCCCCATCACACATCCTTCAGTGCCCAAACGCTTGAATTGTACAGGCGTCACCACATCATCAACTATAAAAAAGGTCTAGTCTCCTTGGTCACGCCCAAGTGCTTTTTTTATTTTTATATTTTTTTTTATTATAGTTGTGACACGACATACCGTAGAGCGCCCCTTGTGACATTGGGGCATGCTTGCAACCAACTTGAGTTCAGATGCAAATTCGTATCGGTTACCAGGCTGTTTATTCATTTCTCTTTGATGCGGCTGAAGGGCAGAAAGTAGAATAGGCACAGAAACGACATTTGCAGATATCATCCATCTTTACGAGCATTTGAGCGGCCTCATTTGATATACTACGCGACGCAACAGACGAGCACTTGTATAGCCCTGAACGAAACTTGAAAGACTACACCACCACTAAACGCTCTGCTGAGCCGGCAAATAAAATAAAAACGAGGTTTTGCAAAACCCACGAATGAGCTTCTGAGCTAGCGTATGAAGCATCTCTCTATACCACTTGAAACTGTCGAAGTTTACAAAGCTTTTCTATGCTATATTTTTGTTCCGATTGATGTAGCAGCGGTAGAGATATATATACATATGCTTTCTTCTCTCGCTCAAGTCGCCTTCACGGCTGGTGGATCTGCTTGGGCGATTCCGCAACCTCTTTGTCATATAAGCATTTACGCCCCCCCCCCCCCCCCCCAAAAAAAAAAAAAAAAATAAAAAAAAATAATAGGGACTTTTTATAGGTCGTACCCAGCGCATTGTCGGCCTCTGGGAGTGCCAGCTCAATCCGCGTCTTAAGTGACGCCACAAGCTCCAGCAGTCAACGCAAAGCTCTTGAGTGTAATCTACGAAAGTCCCTAATTACAGTTTTAGTCAATATTTTGCTGTGGTATTTGCTCTCCGCAAGTTCTTCCGTTTTTTTGTGTTTTTTTTTTTTTTTTTTTTTTTTTTGCAGGGTTTGTGGTGACGTCAGAACGTTGAGCTCTGCTTGAAGGATCAGGTAGACCTCACGGCCGCTTTGAGGTCTACCCACTCTTCTTCGATCAGAGCCAATCAGAACTCGGCCTTCTAACGTCACCACAACCCCTGCAACAAAAAAAAAAGACAAAGAAAAAACGAAGTTGCGCTCCGCATACCTCCCATCAGTTATAGACACAATACGATTCGTGCACAAAGGCATCGGCGGTGTATTGGGCATCGCTATCGGAGGTATCGGAGCAGTCTACTAAAACTCCCTATTAGAGGCATACCGAATCGAAACTTAAAATATACCTCACGTTCAGAGATAACTTAATCGTGATCAGCTTTATCTGCTAATGCCAATCGCTTGCTTGTGTTTTGAACGGGTGGCTCTATTTTTCGTTCCAAAGGACCGATTCCAGCGAGCGCTCGAGGCTCCCCATCGGAGAGCGCGATGAATCCCAGGAGGTGTGACGTCAACTGGCCCAGCACGGGCAAAGCCGCTTGGGAGCTGGCGTGGTTATGAGCTCGGCCACATAGCGTCGTCAACGCGATACACCTGAGACCCTATTCCAACCTGGCCGTTTTAGTTGCCCCTCCCCGCTCCTGCCAGAGTTGAATAGGCCGGTTCGACAGGGCTCGCGTCTTGCGATTCGTCGGACATTTTGTTGTGCATGGGTCTCTCCATTATGCGTACTCTTAGAATCACGCGGAGCTCGGTTGGCTGAGTCAACACCACCTATGGTGTAATCAAAGGCACTACAATCCTGACGTCATCAGAGTGTGATCGAGCGAAAACGCCGCTTGGGCAGGAGTATCGCGTCAGCGCTCGGCTGGTTCTCGTGTCCAATGAAGAACGTCGCTCGCAGGCTTTGATTCTGCCTTGAGTATTCCAGGTGGTGTTGGCTCGGTCATCTGAGGTTACCGAGATGGGTACCATTTGTTCTTGCTATGGGCGATCATCTGATACGAGTGTGCTGTGATTTTCGTGCTCCTTCACGAGTAAATAGCGCCAGCACCCTTTTCTTTTCTTTTTTGTTTTTTTTTAAATCGTGCGTTCCGCATTGTTAGCTATTTGGGATTGAAAATAAATGCCCACGCACCGTGTAAACTTTGGTAGGCAACTATTTTTCGGGGCGTCTACATAAAAGGACGTCTGCGTAAAAATTTGAAAATGTGCGGTAAACTGTTTTTTTTTTCCCCTTTTTGCGTGGATGGTATTTACAGGGCGCCACGTTTGAGCGCAGTGTTTATATGGCGCATGCTCAAAAAGGGTTCCCTCTTACCATCTCAGTAGAGCTACAATCTTGGTGGTGTAGAATGGACGTTGGAAGTGCCGTGGAAGCTCATCGTATAAGCTCGCACTTTGAAAGTGACTGAGTGATCAGAGCATGATATTTCAAACAACGGTCGCAGTTTGGTCAGATCATATCACATCGTCGCAGGCCATGTTAAGGGGATATGGAATATAAACGTGTTTTACAATCACGATAATAATAATAAAATTAATATTAATTATGATAATCTTTATTAGCGACAGGGGTACCCTGGGTAGTTCGGGGGGGGGGGGGTATATAGGCGGGGGCCTTCAAGCGTGAGCGTCTGCTAGCCAGCCTGCCGCCCAGAGCAAGGAAATAAATACGACAAACAGGCAACGAAGGGGAAAACAACGCGAAGGGCAAGATGAACAAGGTGGCACCTCGAAGAAATTCTATGCCCGCGCCCGGACGCCAGGCACAGCAGGCCGCGGGGCACAAGCCGGATGCGAGCGCCACGACAGCGCCCAGCTGAGACCGCGTCCTGTCAGTCTGAGCACAAGTCCATGCAGCCAAGTGCCGGCGGCACATGCTCTACCTGAAAGCTAGTTCACATATATCCTCGGTTTCTTACGTTACGTTTAAGTCACCGAAACATTTTTGTCTCGAATGTCGCGTGACAGGCTATGTCCTCGTGACTCGTACGTCAGCTTTCGTAACGCAACGTAACGTCAGAAAGCGGGGCTGTGTGAACCATGCCTTTACGTGTCGAGAGGAGTTGCAGAGCGAGCGCGACGTTTCGAGCGGGCCTGATATGCACGTGCAATCGTGAAGTGCAATGAACGAAAGCATCAGTCAACGCAGCATATGCACGTTTCACATGCAGTAATTTTGCTCCAATAGAACGGCACGATTCTCGCCGCTGCGCCGCTCTGGCCAGCCGCAGCGGCAGAGCGGCGCAATTCCATGGTCCTCAAACTCGTCAAAGACAAAGTTGCGGCCGAAGTTGATGGAGCGCACCGATTGGCCTATCACGACGGTGACTCGTAACTGTGGGATCGTAGTATCTTCCAGTGACGATATTTGAAGGCGGCTCATAGATTGGACCCGAGCATTGCATGATCACTCGATTTGGGCTCGTGATAATTGATAGCTCGAAAAGCACTCGGGTGGTGGCCCGTGTTCAATCGCTGCAATGATGACGATAGCCGAACAATAAGAATGTCTGGACCTTAGCGTGTCCCCTGTGCCTTCCCAACCCCATCGCGTGGCTATGATAAACATTGGGCGGCATATAATCGGCTCCAGATCACGTGGCTGCTTGTTCTGGCTGCGAGTTGAGGGGGTTAACGCTGCTCGTTTTTCTCTCATTTTTTCTGCAACTTCGGTTGCGTGTGTTTAAAAACGTACGGGTGTTTCACAGGTCATTAACGGCAGGGATGCGTTCTAAGTGGTATACGCGCAAAGTTCGAAAATCATAGCATCGCCCCTTTAAAAGAGCCCTGCAATCATATATAAGCGTCTACCTTTTTTGCGGTTTCCACGTTTCTTACAGTTCGGACAACCCAGCGGACACGGAGGGAGACACTAAATATCAGTGCGTCATATTTTAACCAGACGACGCGGAAACATCCTGCTCCTACGGAGGCGCCCCGTGCTGTCGAACGCGCATGGCATCTGACGAAATCGTGACGTTGTTGGTCCTGGTCAGCCGAGGAGAGAGCTGTCCCCGTTCCCGGGCATCCAGCCTCACCTCCTTTCGCCGCCTTCCCCCTCCCCCCCCCCCCCCCCCCCCCTTCCTCAGTCATTGCGGCAAGGGGAATCCTCCGGCGCGGGAAACGAGGGGACAAAACCAGGAATGTCATGAAGGCTTTTTTTTTTTTTTTTTTTGCTTGTTTTTGTCATTTTAATTTGCTTATAACTTTTAAGATAAAGCGAATTTCGACAAAAAAAAAGTTAACTAAGGTGCTACGTTCAACGCGTTCCGGTTTGTTGCAAATTAAAAAGCAGCAAAACAGTCGTTGAGGGACTTTATTCATTTCCTGTGACATCTTTAGTATGATGTATTCTCCTTTCTTCGGTGTAATTGAAGGCCCGTCGACACACTTGCGACTGCATTGGAGTGGAGAGGCTAAAACCGGTTCTTAAAGGACGCATGCAAAGGAAAAACTTTTTTTTTAACAGGCTAGATGGAAAAAGAATATTATAAAACGAATTTAAGACGAAGAAAAAATATTTAGAGTTATATTTACGGCGCAAAACGAATTTGTAGTTGGCGCCCGCGGGAGCCACCGCTGGTCACGTGGTAGGCCTGTGCGACGCCGCACTGTGTCGCCGCCGCCGCAAAGTCACGCCGCTGCCGCACGCTGGGCGTTGTGCGCCACCGCTTGAACGCGTTTCTCCACGCCGCCGTCGCCGCCGCCGCAGTTCGTCTGCTTCGGGGCGCCGCCGCCGTCATCTGACCGGCGCACAGGACTATCACGTCTGCTTGCGCTTTTTCAGGAGTTTCCTTTGGGCTCTAAAAGCTACTTATTGACCTTAGCTTTTTTTTTATTGTTATACTTTAAACAAATATGAATAAGTTACTTTCAGAGGCGATAGGAAGTTTCCGAAAGAGCGCAAGCACCACGTGACAAATATGTACCAGTCACGTGATTAATAAGGGCCACTTTTCCGCAGCGCCCGCATGCTCCAACTACAAATTTGTATAGCGCTGTAAATATAGCTCTAAAAATGTTTTTTCTTCGTCGTAAAATCTTTTTACCTAAGCTGTTTAAAAAATGTCTCTTTTTTCCTTTGCATGTGTCCTTTAAGCATTTCTTGACGGCTTACGACCTGCTCCGCAGCAGCGCAGCCGGTCGTAAGGCTTCGAAATAGGCTAAAAAACGATCGTATTCAAGTCGGTCGCAAGTGTGTGAAGAGGCAATTAAGAGCCAGGATACGCAATGAAACGAATCCTGGTTGTGACATTATTTATGAGATAAAACGCCACTAGAAATTTTCATAGCGGTTTAATTTGTCTTGATATATCACGAAAGCAAATTAGAGGAACCTTTATACAGATAGTTGTCGGTCATTGAGATAGGGCGGTGCAGTTTATTAACTTCTCCAGCGCAGCATACTGCGGCTCATACATCGGTGATTTCTTAAAATGGCCCGAGATCAAATATCTATATAAAATCGAATGTGTGTATATGAACATCAAAAAGTAGCGTGTGACGGGATCCCGACGCATGCTACTTTCAGATGTTTATTAAAGATTCAATTAATAGTCAAATAAAACCAAGGCACTTTTTGGTTGATAAAAATTGGAAGGCGAACTGTAGTATACACTCAAGGGTTTGCTTCCCCAAACAGATAAGGGGGAAAGGCAACATAATTTACAGCACGAATATTTTTAGACGGTATAGTATGACCCAGACGCGCACACTTTATTTTATTGTTATAGATTACGAGACACCGGAAAATATTTTACAGAGGCGCTGATCTATCGACTACCTCAATTAGCTCAGTAAGCGCGAAGAGCGTGTTTTGTTTCACCTTAAAAAACTGGAACCAAATATACAGGCATGCGGCTGTATATTTGGCTACAGCCAGAAGACACCCCCAAGTAAAGCTCTTAATCTTCACTATTTAGACCAATACTTCTAAAACGTGAGACAACGTATACTACTCATCCGAAGCGACAAGACAGCTCCCTCGTCAGCCAGAACATCAGAGCGGAATGGAGGCTGTGACGAGGGAGTAGCTGCTTCGTGCGTGAACAAGCTCGTGCACTTGGCGCAGCAGGGGCCATGCGGGGCCCATGTCTCCAGCAAAGTCGTCCATGGCCAAATCCCAGACGGCAAGGCCCAAGGTCTTGCGCACGAGTGGCCGCTTCGCTCGCAAGCTGACGCGGTCCTCGAACCCAATCCACTGGTCCTTCCAGTGGGCCACGGCGCAGCGGGAGTGGCCGTGGAAAAAACGTGCCCAGCTAGCATTGCTCAGCAGCAGCTGAGCCACGTCGTAGTAGCCGGTCCGTCCCGACTGGTTGGTGTACCCGAAGGATCGTCCAGGTCCGATGGCGTCCATGCCCACGCGGTGGTGCATCCAGGGTCTTTTGACCGTGAAGGACACACCGGCGAGCGATACGCTTAGCACCGTCTTGAGCAGCAGATGCTCCGCGACCATAGACAAGTCGTCGAGGATGGTGGAGAGCCCCGTTTGGCCGTGGTGTCGGGCTCGAAACACGGAGCGAACGGGGCTCTGGCAGGTGGTCACGGGGAACCTGCTTGGCTCTACCGTGTGATGACTGTCCACCAGCACCATATCGAGTCGCTCATAAATGGAGTGCTCAAAGTAGCCATGCCGTCGGGTCGTCTGACTCCAGGGCAGCATAACGGTAACCTGGAAACCCTCCTTGTCGAACAAAACCCGCATCGTGTTGATGAGCGTGCTCCAGTTGGTGCGCACCTCGAGGTCCGGGTACTTCCAGTAGAGCACCAGGCCGTCTAGCCCAGTGTGGCGCAGCCAAGCGACGGCGTTGTGAATGAACGCCAGTCGAGATTTCTTACTACGAATCAGGTCTTGGAAATCGGGACTGTCGCCAGCTTCGCCCCCGACGCAGGCCCACATGGTCACTGAGGGTGTCTTGAGCGCTGCCAGGCGCCTGGGTCCTGCAGCTTCGGCGTCTGCTTTTCTGGGGCGGATGCGGCTCTGGGGGACATCTACTCCGACCGAAACGTAGACAATGGCGTCACAGAGACTCGTGGACACGTTCTCCAGGTTCAGCGGGTGAGGCGAGCCCGATGGCTCGCTCTGGTTTACGAAGCAGAAGACGGTCTTGCCGAGGTCATCGTCGGATAGTTTCTGCATCACCACCTGAGCGGACTTACGGGGAACGGCGGGGCCCTCCTCGGTGTCATCAATGGACGTCCAGAAGTGTTCTACAACGGCGGACACGATGGCCGTGCAGGCGCAAGCCACCGTCATAACACCGATGACAAAAAACACAATGATGCAGAGATTCTTATCGCGAAGTCTGTACTGGGGACTGGAGTCAGAGAACCGAAACCGCGTGGCGCTCTGGGGTCGTGTTGGGCCGTTTGCGGTAGGCTCCTCTTCCATGACTGCGTTGAATGGAGAGAACAAGCAAGTGACGTCGATGCATGATGCGTATTCGCGTGTTCGTGCTTCAGTCTCGTCTTTCTTTAATAATGTTTGCTGTTCTTATACTTGGGGACAAATTCTCTTAAAAATAATTAATAATAACTGGGTTGTGTGTAGGTTTATACAGCCTAGAACTTGGCTTGCCTCAACGGGTGACGAGTCTCCCAGCTGTAGATGAGCAGTTTAGCCAGTGCAGTACAAACCGCTAGCCTGGGGTCTTTAACGTGCACCACGCAGTAATGATACACGACCGCACGCTGTTACGATGCTCATCGGGCAGGGGTGGGGCTCGAACCAAGGATCCTTGGGTTCAGCAGCGCGAGCTTTCACTCCACGTGCTCCGAGCTGGTGACAACTTCTCTTGGCAGTGAAGCCAAAGCTATAGGGTACCCGTGCGCTCGCGCACAGTGAGCGCCGATCACAGCTGTGCTCGCGCAGTCTTCACTTCTTCGTAAATGCCAGAAAAAGTTGTGCCCGAGTATTAGCGGTGAGATGTTTTGGTGGCGCCCTCCTAAGGGGTATCCACACTAGGGAGAAATCCCGGGGATTTCTCCCCGGCACGCGCGCATCACGAGATGAAAACGCGAGGCTTTTGCACATCGCAAAGCCTGACGTTTTCGTCGTGGGCTAGCGCCGAGTGGGCTAGCGCACACCAGCTCGGAGCACGTGGAGCGAAAGTTCGCTCTGCAGAACCCAGGGATCCTGGGCTCCATCCCCATCTACAGCTGGGAGAAAAGGCGCCCGCTGAGGCAGACTAAGTTTTAAGCTGTATAAACACACACACACACACACACACACACACAATTTTGGTGCCCTCCTATGGGTCCCTCTCCTGGGGGGCTAAGCTCGCCTTCGGCGGGAATCTCTCCGATGCGACGTAACGGGTGAGGGGAGGAGCTTCTTTCGACTCCGCCCTGGCGAGTTTCCCACTCCTCCTCTTACATTTCCGACCCCCCCGGCGGCGGCGAGTTCCCCAGCGTGGCTCCGATTTGTCCCTACGCTCCGCTCCCGGGTTCAATCCTCACCCTTCCCCGTTTGGATCTTGATGAGCATCGCACCGGCGTGCGGTCGTGTATCACTCACTACTGCGTGGTGCACGTTAAAGACCCCAGGCTAGCGGTTGGGCTGCACTGGCTAAATTGCTAATCTACAGCTGGGAGAATCGTCGCCCGTTGAGGCAGGCCAAATTTTAGGCTGTAAAAACATACACAGAACCCAATTTTTTTATTTAGATCGTAAATGACAAATAAGAATTGGTAACAGCACGGATCCTAATTATACAAATATTGCTTGGATATGGGCTAGGTGGTTAGACATTGTGATGGTTTGCTGCGCTGCGTAGATGCAAGAAAAACGCGCTTGATAAAAATTTAAACCAAAGCAGAGAATAGGCGAAAAACAACATACAGGAATGACGCAGACTAACAACTGTGTAATTTCTTTCGCATCTTTCTCCCCCCACGTCGCCACACAGCCACAATATGTTTTTTATTTATTTATTTTTTTTTTTTTTTCAGAAAAGGGTGCACGTGGAGCGAAAGCTCGCGCTGCAGAACCCAGGGGCCTGGGTTCAATCCCCACCCCTGCTCGTCGATCTTAATGAGCATCGCACCTGCGTGCCGTCGTGTATGACTACTGCGTGGTGCACGTTAAAGACCCCAGGCTAGCAGTCGTACTGCACTGGCTAAATTGCTTATCTACAGGCAACAATGTCGCCATGTGCTGGCATGTTCTGCCGTATAAACAACTAACGACCGATTTGTTCGTCAAAAGACGCTGTGGAGGGAGAAAGATAAGAAAGAAATTACACAGTTGTTAGTCTGCGTCATTCATGTAGATTGCTTTTCTTCTATCCTCTGTTTTAGTTTAAATCCTATCAAGTGCGTTTTTCTTGCATCTACGCAGCGCAACAAATCATCACCATAATTGTAAAAGCCTGTAGGTAATGATAAATTGCGTTCCTGGTTGCAGATTGCCATAAAAACACATTTTTTTCTAGGATTCACTTTGTAGAATTTGTTTGTAGGTTTTACGACGGGGACGACGGTACATTCACGGCTCCATCACCTCAAGCACGGTTTGCCACGCAGTTCCTCGCACAGCCACCTTACCACGTATTTCGAGAGGCGATAGTGTTGTTAAAAATCAACGTCGTCTATGTTCGCCAACGGCGAAACACGCACAAAAACGCTGCCATTTTGGACGCCCCCCTCATCTCGCGCCCAACTCGCCCAAACTCGCCTAGGTCGGAGCCGGCAAGCTTTTCCGATCCGAGGCGGCTTTTGCCACGTCACAATGACGTCACAGCATCTCGCCGCGAGTTCCGAATATGCCACTCTCCGATCACCTCAAAACCCTCCGTTCTGACGTCACGATCTAGGGAGTGACGGCGCGTGTCGTCATGAACGGCGCCGACCAATCGCAGCGAGCGGCGAGTTCGGCGGAGAACTCGCCTTGATCTCTCCGAGCCGAGCTTAACCCCCCTGATGTCATTACCTTACAAACAATGGTGGTGTTTGTAATGAGCATGGTGGAAGCTTGAAATCATTGCGCTCTTAAAACAACACTGCCAACATCCTCAAAGTTGAGGTTTTTACATTCCTCTTATTTCCGTCGATGAGAAATCCTTTGCTGACGTCATAGTCAGCATTCGGCCAATCGTGGAAGGCCGATCACAGCGACGCTTTTGATCGCGCACGTCGCCAATGATTCATTTACAGGCAATAAAAAAACGCGAAGCCAGGTGGCCAGGTCATCACTGATGGGAAAACTCAAGTACAAGTCGCTACTACGCTTTTGGGAAAGAAGGTAAATTCAAAAGTGCAAGCTTTGAATTTGCATTTAATTGCATTATCATCGTAACCTTAAAAACGCAAGCCGTTCACCCTTGTTGGTGTTAGACTGGTGGCGGTTGATAAAACCCGTTTGCTCTACTGACGTCTAAATTCTAGTTAACTCAGTTGGTGGAGTGCTCCAATGGGATTGGGGACGTCCCTGGTTGAATACCAGGACCATGCGGATTTTTTTCAGTCACGCACCAGTCACCTAGCTGTGTTTGGAGATTTGTGTTTGTCCTTTGTTCCCTTTGTTCCCCTTCACCGGGGATCCTTTTCGTCATTCTTGTCCAGCTCGCTTGCACCTTTGCATTCAATTGCATTATGACTCGAAAGGTTACGTTTGAATACGTATCAACTAAGAGGAATAAATTAAAAAGGCGTGCAGCCAAACAATAGCAGCGTGAAGTGATGGGACTTATATATGACAAAAAGGAAGTCAAAGAAACCGAGACAAAAATCTGGGGGGAGAAATTTCTTTACCAGGTTCATGCTAAGAAAACAAGCAGTAAGAAAATCATATTTATTTGATAATTCATTCACAGAGTAACTCTTTTGTTTACAATACCCTAACATAAACAATAGAAGATGGTATATAAAAATGCGCGGGGTTTCGTCATGCCCTTCTTTGCTGAAGTAGATATGATGGACTGCCCAAAATATTTAAAGGGGTGGTGCAACGATTTTCGGGCTTTGGCCAATTAACAGCGGAAATTAATCTGTGTCACCTACAGAACGAAGAACAGAAAACAGTATTTTCTAGCGAGCGCTAGTTTTTTATTTAAAAAAAAAATTTAAACAAATCGAAGGTCAAAATGCCTCTCAACTCTCCACGTCGCCTTTCGAGTGACGTACTCTGGGGGATCACGTGGTTTCCCCTTGGGTTTTCTCTTCGGAGACCCCAGCCGCTTCCTCCGCAGCTGGGGTCTTTGACCCCACCCGCGAAGGAAGCTTGGACGATGCTAATCCTAAAGGATGAGCATCGTTAGAGGTCGCGGCGAGCGATGGTCACAAAAGACGGATCGCCACGGGGCTGTCGGCGAATGTAGCAGCGAAGGAGACGGACAGGTTTTGTTCACTTCCGCGTATCCCCCAGTGACGCTGTCACCGTAGTTCCCGTAACGGCCACAGGCGGCTGCAGGCCGGAAAATAATTCGTTTTTTTCCCCTTGGCGATTACGCAGCGGAATAGCAGTTTTTCGGGGCAAGGTGACGCGTTTTTTGGTCACTTGTGCTTAGATAAACAATATAAAAAATACAAACTGCCAATTCTTTCAACATTAAAATCGTTGCAGGATCCTTTTACTTAATTTCTCCTTACAACAGTTTCAAGCGCGTTACGTTACGATTATGAAACTACACACCGATTGGTTATTGGCGGAGGCAGAGGGGGAAAAAAAAAGGGGGGGGGGGGGGCTAAAGTCAAGCCTTTTCCCCGAAAAATACTCCTTGCTACGCCACTAGAATTGGTGGTTCAGATGATTTAACTGTAGGCTTATTGTTTTGGGGTGAAGGGAAAGCAAGGAAGAATATTAAAACAAACTTTATATATTATATTCATATTTTTCATGAATGGGCCAGATTGATTTGGTGCGGGTCAAGATTGAAGAAATAATAAACAAGACGGAGACGACACAACCACGTCTTTCAACTAGCAACAGACATATAGGAATTCCAAAAGCGAACAATCAATTAAATGCGGAGAAATCGAGAAAAGGAAAAGTAGCTAATAGGCGAAGGAGGGAAGATACAATAAGATAAAATGCAGTTCGATTGGCAGAGCCATCTCTTATTTGAAAAATTCAACATCAGTCCTCGCCAGTAACAATAAGGGTTTGAATGACTCTATGATCTCCCGGCCGTGCTTAAAGCTCCTAGATAAGTGGTTCGTGCACGTAGCGACATCCTTTGAAGTGCTGACTCTGTGACGGGGCAGATTTTAGGAAGCGAATGGCGGCGCACAGCAAAAGAGTCAACCGAATGACGCCATTTTGTTCCTACGGAATAAGGTTCGTAATTTGTTTTGTTGTCGTTACTTGCAAAAAGAAGCCTCAATGATGCTTCATTTTAGAAGTAAAGAAGTAATGAAACTAAGCCAATGACGAAGCACATTCCGTAAGAACAA